TAGATATATGGCGAGGAGAGCGTGTCCCCTCTCACAAGGTCAATGGGTGTACCCCGCAGGTTCGAAGAGGGGTTGCCAAGGTCCTGTAGCCATTTCATTTTTTTCTTTTTTCGTGGTGCCTTCAGGGAAGGCGAGAAGGGCGTAGTCTTTCCTCGGTGCCAGTGGCGTCTTACTGAGCTGTCTTTTCTTTTTTCTTTTTCGGGCCACTAACGTGAAGCCGTCACCTCCTTGGTCAGCGTCGGCGTCACCCACCTGGGCGACGGCATCACCGTCATTTTGTGCCTCTTGCATGGCGATTAGTTCAGCGGTCATGTCCACTGAATTACAGGCTGAAGCGCACTCTTCAGCCGTGGGAGGGGTGGGACAGCTATCCCGTGAGTCCTCTCCCTCAGTGTTTACTTTGCGGTTTTCCCCCATCGTGGGTGTGACCGCGGCGCCTGGCGCGCCTGGCTCGCCGCCTCGTGACAGGTGAATTATGGCGCTTGGGACAACGGGCCACTCAGTTCCAACGGTCACTAACACAGTACTTGGCACTCGTTGAATGAATTCAATTAAAACTAAAACATAACCATGTTCACATCACTACTCTCATGACGTTTCATTTGCGAGGTATTTGCGCACCTAAAGATTCATGAACAATTTCCTCGTACATGACACCAGAGATCCATGTGTAAGGGGCGAGGGCACCGGAGCAGGACACCACACGACCTCTTCGTGTGAGGTCACGGAGTGTACTGACGGGAGTCAGTGAAAAATGGCTACGCGGCCCCATAGAATTATACATTCTTGCTCCGCATAGGTAAAGAGAGCTGTGAGCCATTGGCGCCCCGCGGCCGCGATGAGAAAAGCTTCGTATGATTCCCGTCCGATTGGGGAACGATTATTCTGTCGACCAATATTATACGTTGTAAAACCCCATTAGAACAATAATAATAGGTAAATAATAGATAATTATATCAATAACAAGTACTTCGTACATGTTTTGTCGTGCACAATTTATAAATAATAAATAGGAAAAATATCGCGTTTATTAGGTCCACAATTTTACGCATAGCATACGTAATTTCAGTCCGATTTTAACTTGGCTCATTTTGTAGCTGAATAATAGTTCTATTACTTGCTGCCATAAGGATTTGCAATATTTTCATGTGCTTCTTATAAAAGTGACTTATCTTTTCAAAATCTCCTATTAGGGTGTTTTAACAGACACCTTCGGAAAATATTCACGAAAAAAGTAAGGTCGACTTCTCGAAAATGGCATCTGTAAATTATAGTAGACGGATAGTTCTATTCAAACATGAAATCAGTATGGCTGTACGATTTTTTTTTCTTTTTTTTTTTGAGAAATTTTCACGGTCAATGTAGCCTATAGACCCCTCAGATCACTGCCACCACTACACTATACGTAAGACTTTGAGAAACCGTTACGTGCTGGCAATGTCCGCAAGACTTCGGAATGCAGGTAGATGATAGAGGATTATGGTGTAGGAAGACTAATCTTGTGCCTTGTTTTGTTGATACAAAGATAGTCATGGTAAGATGAAGAAAACGAAAAATGCCGATATCTCGGTACACCACCCTTGTAGTCTTCAAAAATTCTAGACAATTTAATTTTAATCCAAAATAAAAGTTTTATGCCTCATTCTCTAGCTGAATAAAAAATCTAGTGCTTGTTCAAGATGGTTTTTGCAATTTTTTTGTGTGCTTCTTGTAAAAACAATTGTGCAAAAAAAAAAAAAAAAAAAAAAAATTATGTGAAAAAAAATCTTGATAGTCGGTCACTTCAAAAATTCATACAAAAAAATAAATCGAAATCGAAAACTGAATCGAATAAGTACTATATCTAGGATGAATCTCTTCAAAAATCACATCAGTATGACTAGAATTTTTGTGATTTTTATTTATTTTATTTTATTTCTTATATCTTTGGAAAAATTGTCAATTTTAATTTTTTTCTTCAGCGCTTTTTCGTTTTTTTTTTTTTTTTTTTTCAAAAACTGTTCGGGCGATTTCGAAAAAAAATTCGACAGCAGAGACCAGGCTAGGGTCTAAATAAAAGGGTGTAAGTTTCAAAGGGGACCGTCTGTTTTTGTTTTTTTTTCAACTTTTCGATTTTTCTTGCCTATTTTGATGAAACTCGCACCCTTTTATTGTGAGTTTCATCCAAATCGGCAAGGAAAATCGAAAAGTCGAAAAAAAAACAGACGGTCCTCTAAGGGTTTGGGAGAGTGACCTCACACATTACTGGTTGGCCAGCGCATATGCACATCTTTTTTCCTAACCCCGGAAGTCCCGGGTTGGGAGAGTGACGTCACAGATTGCTGATTGGCCAGTGGGTATGCCACTGCCGGGCGCGATGGGTGCAGCGAAACTGTCCTACACGTCAGTCTAGACACGGCGCTGTAAGAATCACATTCAGAACGTGTATAAAATTTAACGACGTCTCTCTCTCTCTCCCTCCCCCCCCCCTCTCTCTCTCTCCCTCTCCCTTCCTTCCTTC